TTTACTTTAACTTAAAAAGAAACACATAACTAGTCTTAGGGGGTGGGTGGTTGTGATGGCGCATCTGCCAGGTCCTATGTCTCTTCTTTGCCACTGTTTTGTTCTGCTTGTCTTGCTCCTATATATGATGTAAATTGCGTCGACGGAGGCATGAATTATGTGTCTTGCTCTTTATTTTCATAAATAAAATGACTGTTATTGTGTTGGGTGTAATTCTTTACCGGACCTATGTCAACCAGGAAATTGCGATGTGTTACTCTCAATTTTTACAGATGAATTTTGTATGTTAAACGCCACCGAGCATGGGATGCAATAAAAACAACAACAACAACAACGAATAGATAGATCTGCAGAAAAAGTTAACCTTGTAATAAACTGAAATGCTGCGATTATCACCAGGAAGTACACCTATCATCCTTTATGGCAAGCTTCTGCAGCATGATCTCCAAAACTGCAGACTTTATAAAATGCACATATCGCTTTTGTAAAATTAAAAGCCATTTAGAATTTAGAGATCATCACTGAAGATTACATTATATTCATCACTGCAGATAGGCCTATGTATAAAAGCAATGTTTTGGCGGTACATTTTTGTACTGATATTGTTCAGAAGTATGGAAATATAAAGCAATTTAACCGAAGGAAAAAAACAACTTTCAAACAAAAGGTAGGCGAAAATTGATAGTACCGGTTTAATTGCAAGGATACAGGGTTTTGCCATAAGAACTGCCTGATTGACCACAGTCGACTGTGTAGCGCCCGAATGGCCAAGATAACGACAGCGCTAGGGGCATTTAAATCAAAGGCGGTGGCAGTGTAAGGGTGGGTGGATTGCTTTAGTTTGCGGTGTCGTTCAGGTCAAAGAATTTTGCGATATATTATGATTGACAAGTAAGTGGAACAATAAGTAACCAGAAACGACTACATACTACATGTATTTTCAAGAACCCCTGAAGCAGCATCTGTCTGTCTGTCTGTCTGTCTGTCTGCCTGCCTGCCTGCCTGCCTGCCTGCCTGCCTGCCTGCCTGCCTGCCTGCCTGCCTGCCTGCCTGCCTGCCTGCCTGCCTGCCTGCCTGTCTGTCTGTCTGTCTGTCTCTGTCCCTGTCTCTCTCTCTGTCTCTCTGTCTCTCTCTCTCTCTCTCTCTCTCTCTCTCTCTCTCTCTCTCTCTGTCTCTGTCTCTCCCCCCCCCCCCCCTGTTTATACAACAACAAAAGAATCAAGCAAACAAACAGCAGCTTTTACTTTTACTACAACAGAGAATGTTAAGGTAAACCGAACAGTCAGTTTGTCGGTACAAACACTTCAACGATAAAGGCAAGGAAATGTGGACCATGTGTTCTAAAAAACAAACAATACAAAACAAAACAAACAACCCCACCAAAAACAACAACAACAACAAAAACAATAACAACACCAACAACAGCAACAACAACAGCAACAACAACAACAACAGCAACAACAACAAACAGGGGCGAAGCGTCTATATAATCAAATAATCACTGCTTCCTTCCCAATTTTGAAACATTGTCGCTGTCAAATTCATCCTGAAACGTAAACCTCTTAAATTAAATGTAAAAAGACGTTCGTAATCAACAATGAACTGTATGCCTAACATTCAAAACGGTTTCACGGCCACAGAAATAGCCTCCTCACCCCTCTCGGGCCACTCCATAAGCAGTCGCAAGCTTTGATTAAGTAAGCTTTAAAGTGAGGCTGGAAAAGTCTACCAATAGAGTTGAAGGGAACATGTGCATAGCAGTCAAAGCTGTTTCATTGCCACATATACCCTGTTCACCCCTTTGGGGCCACAGTTATAATCAGTCACAAGCCCTGATTATGTAAGCTAACTAACACTGGTCGAGTCTACCTCACACATGTGAGGGGAACTAACTCCTAATAATCTGTTGACTGCTGCATGTGCTTGGTTTTTTTTCCTCGACTTTTTACCGTCCTATAATCAGATCCTGACCTCGATTATGACACCAGCTCCTGGCCGCAAAAGTCTAACAAAAACAGCCAAATGTGAAATTTAAAAAAAAAGGATAATTGTCATGTTCTACCAAAGAGTTAGACTCACTGGTAGATCTATAACATATAGACCTGGTACTGACATCTCTGCTTCTTTGCTTTGTGTTTATGTATTCACATCTAAAGTTAAATTTAATTTTAGTTGGAATTGATATTTAATCAGATACTTTCCCGATTATTTTGGCGGTTGAACATACAATATGAATTCCGGATTTGTTTTCATTCACAACTCAGAGTCGCCGCCTCGAGTAAGATTCTTGTGTAGTATCTACAGGCCATATCTGGTCCCGTTTCACTTTGATTGCCCTGTCAAACAGGTCAGCCTTCGCCCCTGACAACAAAAGCCAACTACTCAGACTACTCAACATAATATGCCCAAAAAAATCAACAATAAAATAGGAACCCATGAAAATTCAGTCACAAAATTCTAACATATAGAATCTAGATCTAGTCCAGATCTATTAAATGGATGCGCTCTGAATACAATCAACATTTATTGAAGCATTGATTAAACACCATGCAGTTTTTTTGCAGTTTCTTTTTTAATCATGTATTCAAAATCCCCCCCCCCCCCCTCTTTTTGCACGAGAAAAGCGTTCTTACTTTTTCAGT